ACCTTCAAACTTTTTTCCAGTTGAAACCTTTCAGAGCTATCTTCTTCACAGCCACCCTCTGCCTCTGGGACCAGCCAACACCCTACTTTTTAGCTACTCCAAGTATTCTACTCACAAGCACAGCACAGAAAACTCTGTGACAATAATTGAGTGTTTAATGTTGTTTTGAAGGGAGAAACAATTGGTGAGAAAATAACCCTCGAATAACCCTGGGGGTCCTGATACTCATGCCTCTTTTCTTATTTCATTTATTTATTTTTTTTTAAATGTTTATTTCTTTTTGAGAGAGAGAGAGAGAGTGTGAGCAGGGGAGGGGCAGAGAGAGAGAGGGAGACAGAGGATCTGAAGCGGGCTCCGCGCTGTCTGGCTGAACCACCCAGGCTAGCCTCACTTCTTATTTTAAAATAAACAGGGGCGGGCGCCTGGGTGGCTCAGTCGGTTAAGCGTCCGACTTCGGCTCAGGTCACGATCTCGAGGTCCTTGAGTTCGAGCCCCGCGTCAGGCTCTGTGCTGACAGCTCAGAGCCTGGAGCCTGTTTCGGATTCTGTGTCTCCCTCTCTCTCTGACCCTCCCCCGTTCATGCTCTGTCTCTCTCTGTCTCAAAAATAAATAAACGTTAAAAAAAATTTTTTTAAATAAAATAAACAGGGGCACCTGGGTGGCTCAGTTGGTTAAGCATTCGACTCTCGATTTCAGCTCAGGTCCTGATCTCACGGTTTGCGCGTTCAAGCCCTACATCAGGCTTTGTGCTGTCAGATTCTCTAAGATTCTCTGTCTTCCTCTCTCTCTCTGCCCCTTCCCTGCTTGCTCTCCTCTCTCTCTTTCTCTCTCTCTCTCTCTAAAAATAAATAAACTAAAAAAATTTATGAAAAATAAAAAGAAAATAAACGAAAGTTAGGCCTGACCTGATTTTGGAATGCCTCGTTTTATGGCAGACTATCCAAAGACAGAAACTATGCCTTTCAAGACATTCATTAAACGTCAAACAGGGGCGCCTGGGTGGCGCAGTCGGTTAAGCGTCCGACTTCAGCCAGGTCACGATCTCGCGGTCCGTGAGTTCGAGCCCGCGTCGGGCTCTGGACTGATGGCTCAGAGCCTGGAGCCTGTTTCCAATTCTGTGTCTCCCTCTCTCTCTGCCCCTCCCCCGTTCATGCTCTGTCTCTCTCTGTCCCAAAAATAAATAAATGTTGAAAAAAAAATTAAAAAAAAAAAAAAAACGTCAAACAGAAGTGAAATGGATTAAGCGGACAGTGAAATTTCAAACCCAAGTGGCCTGTGAGTGAGTGGACAGGCCTGCCAATCAATAAGACCACTAAGTCTTAAAATGCTCTGAGATAGCGGTGTCTGTAGCACAAGCCTATTTGTAGACTAACTGAACATTTATTGTTCCAGTAGAGACGGAAGGCAGTGTGTGTCCCAAAGCCACGAAGCCAGCGCTCTTGTTCATTTCTAGCCGTAGGCATAATGGCCTCAGGAGAAAACTCGATTAACTCAGGAGTGAACAAAGCTGCCGACGTCCGAACTGCAAACAGAGGGACATAGCTGCTCTCCTTTTAATAATTGCAAATACCTTTTCCAAATAATATAATTGGGGGCACCTGGGTGGCTCAGTCAGTGGCGAGGCCGGCTTCGGCTCAGGTCATGATCTGCCCGTCTGTGGGTTCGAGCCCCGCGTCGGGTTCTGTGCTGACAGCTCAGAGCCTGGAGCCTGTTTCTGATTCTGTCTCCCTCTCTTTCTGCCCCGCCCCCCCCCACTTGCTCTCTGTCTCTCTCTCAGAAATAAACATTAGAAATTGTAAAAATAAATAAATAAATAAAATACAAATATGTAAAAATAATATAGACCCAGAACCCAAATCAAAACCCTGAGTGGACTAAGGAAATCCAGCAGTCACGCTTCCGATCAATGCAGAAGCGACTTTGGCAACGCAGCCTCAGGAATTGTGGTCGGTTGGGCTTTAAAGTCGGGTGCGTGCAGTTAGGGGATGTGCACCTTGAAACATCCCCGGAGGGTGGGGCGGGGAGGGGTAGAAGATACTAGAACTCCTATCCCTGAAACATTGAGGTAAGAGAAGAAAGCATTACAACTTCTGTTTGTATTTGTTTGATCTAGGGGCGCCTGGGTGGCTCAGTCAGTTAAGAGCCTGACTTCGGCTCAGGCCATGATCGTACAGTTTGTGAGTTCGACCCCCGAGTCAGGATCTGCGCTGACAGTGTGGAGCCTGGAGTCTGCTTTGGATTCAGCGTCTCCCTCTCTCTCTCTGCTCCCCCCTTCAAAAATAAATAAACATTAAAAAAGCAAAACAGAACCTGTATTTATTTTATCTGAAAGTAACACTTCAGGGGTGCCTGGGTGGCTCAGTTGGCCAAGTGTCTGATTTTGGTCTGACTCTTGATTTCGGCTCAGGTCATGATCCCAAGATCAGGGGATTGAGCCTCCCCTCGGGCTCTGCACTGAGCATGGGGCCTCCTTAAGATTCTCTCTCTCCCTCTGTCCCTCTCCCCTGCTTGCTTGTTGTCTCTCTGAAATTTAAAAAAAAAAAAATTTTTTTTAACATTTTATTTATTTATTTATTTTTTAATGTTTTCTTTGTTTTGTGTTGTTTTGCTTTTTACGTTTATTATTAACAGAGAGAGGCAGAGCATGGGCACAGGAGGGGCAGAGAGAGAGGGAGACACAGAATCCGAAGCAGGCTCCAGGCTCTGAGCTGTCAGCACAGAGCCAGATGTGGGGCTCGAACTCACAAACTGCGAGATCATGACCTGAGCTGAAGTCAGATGCTTAACCGACTGAGCCACCCAGGCGCCCCAAGGTTTTATTTTTAAATAATCTGTACACCTGGGGCGCCTGGGTGGCTCAGTCGGTTGAGCGTCTGACTTCAGCTCAGGTCATGATCTCACAGTCTGTGAGTTCGAGCCCCGCATCGGGCTCTGTGCTGACAGCTCGGAGCCTGGAGCCTGCTTCGGATTCTGTGTCTCCCTCTCTCTCTGCCCCTCCTGTGCTCATGCTCTGTCTCTCTCTGTCTCAAAAATAAATAAAAAGCATTTAAAAAAATTAAAAAAAAAAAAAGAGTCGAAGCCTGCTTTAAAAAAAAAAATAAATGAAAATAAAAACTAAAGAATCTGTACACCCAAAATGGGGCTCAAATTCACAACTCCAGGGTCAAGAGTCACATGTTTTTCTGACTGAGTCAGCCAGGCACCCCACACCTGGTTTTTCTTAATTATCAATGAGCACTTGAAGTTTTATTCAAACCTCCTTTTTTTTTTTTTCATTCTAGTCTGAAAGTATTACTTTTCTAATATTTTCACTTCTCGAATACTTTGGTTATTAACTAACCACAGTGGGGCACCGGGGTGGCTCAGTAGGGTTAGTCAGATGACTCTTTTGGCTCAGGTCATGACCCCAGGGTCTGTGGGTTGGAGCCCCCAGTCCGACTCTGCACTGACCGCATGGAGTCTACTTGGGATTCTCTGTCTTCCTCTCTCTCTGCCCTGCCCCCGTGTGTGCACTCCTGCTCTCTTTTTCTCTCAAAATAAATAAGTAAATATTTTGGGGCGCCTGGGTGGCGCAGTCGGTTAAGCGTCCGACTTCAGCCAGGTCACGATCTCGCGGTCCGTGAGTTCGAGCCCCGCATCGGGCTCTGGGCTGATGGCTCAGAGCCTGGAGCCTGTTTCCGATTCTGTGTCTCCCTCTCTCTCTGCTCCTCCCCCGTTCATGCTCTGTCTCTCTCTGTCCCCAAAATAAATAAACGTTGAAAAAAAAATTAAAAAAAAAATAAGTAAATATTTTGAAAACACCACCAAGAGCAGCATAATGACATTTTATTATTATTACTATTTCTATTCTGATATTTTATTTTATTTTAGAGAGAGAGAAGTGCGAGGGGGGAGAGGGGCAGAGGGAGAGAGAGAGAGAGAGAGAGAGAGAGAGAGAGAATCTCAAGCAGGCTCCAGGCTCAGCATCGAGCCTAACCTGGGGCTCGATCCATGACCCTGGGATCGTGGCCTGAGCTGAAACCAAGATTCAGTTGCTCGACTGATTGAGCCACACAGGCCCTCCTCTATTTTAATATTTCAATGTCGGCTGGTTTAAGGAACCTATTTTGATTGTACACACTTCCCTTCTAAAATCTCACATTATCTCCTGAACACCTTTGGTCAGATTACTTTTTTTTTTTAATATTTTTAATGTTTATTTTCAAGAAAGAGAGAGAGCCGAGTGTGAGCGGAGGAGGGGCAGAGAGAGAGGGAGACACAGAATCCAAAGCAGATTCCAGGCTCTGAGCTGTCAGCACAGAGCCCCACACGGGGCTCGAAGCCACGTACCGTGAGATCATGACCTGAGCCGAAGTCAGATACTCAACTGACTGAGCCACTCAGGTGCCCCACCAGTTTTCTTCTTTTTTTAAGTTTACTAATTTGGGGGGGGAGGGGGAGGGAGGGAGAGAGAAAGTGAGGGAGGGGCAGAGAGAGAGGAAAAGAATCCCAAGCAGGCTCTGCTCTGTCCGAGCAACTGAGCCACCCAGGAGCCCCCTCAAAATGATTTTTTTAAGTGACATTGTTAGCCTATGAGATCTGCCAGGGAAAGTTGATGACTTTAAGGAAACGTATTGTTCGGCTGCTCTATCTATGAAGTATAAACCGTAAGAACAGTAAGGCCCACTTCAAGAAACAGTGAAATAATGTTTACAGGTAACATGTAGAATAATGCCTGCCATTAGACCACCAATAAATGCCAGTTTTCTTATATCTAGTGTCTAATATACTGTCAATCGCATCATGCCTATGTTAGATCATTAGGGCTAAGTGTGTGTGTGTGTGTGTGTGTGTGTGTGTGTGTGTGTGTAATTAAGGGTATCATTAGTTATGACGGATTTTCCAAGAAGACAAACCGTAAACATAAATACATTGATATTTCAGATCCAAGAAGTCATAGACCAAGTCGCGAGTTTTATTAGACTTACCCTAAGAACACTCCTATTTCTATTTCTGACAGCCTACCCACAGCCACATTCATCAACCACCATCTCTTCATAGTGTCGTAAAATGACATTGTCATCATTGTCCTGATACAGCATGGAAATGGGGGACAGCTTGGTGGGGATACAGACCGCCTGGGGGATCTCTGGGTCAACTGCATGCATCAGGGCTTGCATGAAAGCATAATTAGAACTGTTGAGGGAGGTGGTCAGAGAGAAAGGACAATCTCCGTGGCAATAGTTCGCCATGAACCCTTTGGGAGCGATAATCCACTTGTGCCAACCTAAGTCCCGGAAGTTGATGAATAGCCGATGACGATGGCAGAGGTTCTTGCAAGGAGCCTTCGGGGCGGGGATGGCTTCCCTCCTTTTTCTGGAAGAAGAGTGACACTGCTCAGGGTGGAGAGTCACCACCAGCAGGGAGGCACGAAGGGACTGTCTCAGTCTGGCACAGGCGTCCTGAAGCTGAAAAGTCACCCCAATGTCTCTGTTTCCTTTGACCAGTATCTCTAGCAACAAACCCAAGTTCTTCTGGGGGTCGTTATTCCAATCCTTAGCCACATCCAGCAGGTTGAAGTGAACGACGCCTTGAGGCCGTGGTACTGACTGTAACACAAGCATTCTACCCGGTTTAGGGATAGGCTGGTCCCCCACCTGAGGCTCCTGAACCAGGAACAGAGCCAACTCCAGTTCTGGTCCCAGCTTATAGTAAGTGTTGGGCCCCAAATCCAGGCCCAGTTGGGCCATTGTTAACTGTTCCTTCTCTTTAATGGCAGACAGGTTAAAGTAGAGGAACTTCTGGAGGCAAGAGGAGGCCTGGGAAAGTTTCCTGGAGTGAAGAAAGAGACCTAGATGGGAACAGAGATGTAAGAGTCACCATAACATAGTTGACTTCGGATCCGCCATTATGATATAAATATCAAATGTTATATGATAGTCACATATACCAAACAAGGGCAGGAAATGATCAGACTCGAACCCTACCATTGGGAGGATTTGTTTCTCCCACTCCTCATTCACGGCCAGAGGTTCTTATCTTCGCATCCGCAGGTCCCCAAGGGGTCCTGGATAGAATTTAGAAGGCCCATGAACTTGGATGGGAAAAAGAATTATATCTTTATTTCAGTGGAACTCTAAATGAAATTTGGCCTTTCTTTCAATTATGAACATAGGCAACAAACAAATCCTAATAGGACCTATGACACTGTTACCAGTAAAAATCATAGGTACGTTCGTAGATTAAATTGTTGCAAACATCTTAAAATAAATTCATGCTCATACTACTTTCCTTTTTTTTTTTTTTTTAATTATTTACCCATTTTGAGAGAGAGAGAGAGAGAGCCAGCAGGGGAGGGAAAGAGAGAGACTCTTAGGCAGTTTCTGTGCTGTCAATGCAGAGCCTAATGTAGGGCTCGATCTCGTGAACCCTGAGATCACGACCTGAGCTGGAGTCAAGAGTCAGACACTTAACTGACTGAGCTCCCCAGGAGCCCCCCATTACTTTCAATTTAAGGTAAATATAGTCCCTTCCCTAGATCATTTTATTGATTGCATTAATAAAGGACCCATGCTAGATTACTATGCACACATTTGGTTTAAAATATTTTTATAAATGTATCTCAATATTTAATTGATTTCTTTGGAAATCCTAAATAGTTTTAGGCATATAAATCATTACTCTGAGAGGGGGTCCATTAGCTTCAACAGAACGGCCCAAGGGACCCTGGCACAAAAACGTTTAAGAACTTCGTAGGCTGTCAGGCGTCGCTGTCCCAAATCTAACTACTCGGATTGACTTCAAAACAACCTTCTACCATCCAGCCAAGACTGACCCTCCCGAAATCTCTTATGTTTCATCTTTAGATGATTCTTTATCTAAAGCCCGCAGTTGTCAGTGGAAACAATTCCTAGTCTGGGGTCTCTGAAGACATCATGTCCCACTGCACTGAAAGTTGGGGTGCAGTGTGATGTCTCCAGTTTCTCCACAAGGACCCTCCCGTCTCTGTTATCTTTGGCAATTGTAGATGTACTCTCCCTGTTTTCAAAGCTGACTTCTCTGCCTGGATTTTCAAACCTTACCTATTCCCTTAGAGAAAGGTCAATACTTTTATCCCCCCCCCCCCTTTTTTTATCCCTTCATCTTCAGTTTTCCCCTCTCTGCAAATAACCTCTTTGGCCTAATGCCACCCTATTGTTAGGTAGGGTGGCTTCACCCTAAGTAGGTATTTTCTAAGGTCATCGGCTTATGGAGAAATTACAACAGAAACCCAAACATGCTAACCATTCCTCCTTCATTCTCAAGTCTCATTCAAAAAAACAACAAAATCACAAAATCAGGGTGCCCGGGTGGCTCAGTTGAGCATCCGACTCTTGATTTTAGGCTTAGGTCATGATCCAGGGATCCAGGGGCTTAAGATTCTTTCTCTCTGCCCCCCCCCCCCCCCCCCCCCCCCCCCCCCCCGCCCTGCCCCGCACTCTCTCTCTCTCTCTAAAACTACAACAACCAAAAATTACTAAGCATTTGAAATTATCCAGTCTCCTCTTCAAGCCTACCATATCATCTTTCCCTTTCTTCTCATTGGCCATCTTTTTTTTAATTTTTTTATTTAAAAAAAAAATTTTTTTTTTAACGTTTATTTATTTTTGAGACAGAGAGAGACACAGCATGAACGGGGGAGGGGCAGAGAGAGAGGGAGACACAGAATCGGAAGCAGGCCCCAGGCTCTGAGCCATCAGCCCAGAGCCCGACGCGGGGCTCGAACTCGCGGACCGCGAGATCGTGACCTGGCTGAAGACGGACGCTCAACCGACTGAGCCACCCAGGCGCCCCTCATTGGCCATCTTTTTACAAAGGTGGGTCTATATACGCTGTCTCTGCCTCTTACTTGATAGTTTTCTCTTGTTTCCAATTCTACCCTTACTACTCCACTGGGACACCTTTCTTAAACGTTGGCTGTCCAATACAGAGATGTCTTCACAGAACTTACCCCTCTCCACTTGTCTGAAAAGTTGACCTCTCCTGTTCCAGGCTAGAACTCTAACCTGCCAGTCTCCCTTCCTCTTCCTGTCACTAAATCATATTCCTTAAGCATAAAAGAAAAGCCAAAGCCAGAGTGGAAAGGATGGACAGATTGGAGAGCATGAAAATAAAAAGGGGCGCTTGGGTGGCTCAGTGGGTTAAACGTCCGACTTCAGCTCGGGTCATGATTTCATGGTCTGTGAGTTCGAGCCCCGCGTCGGGCTCTGTGCTGACAGCTCAGAGCCCGGAGCCTGCTTCGGATTCTGTGTCTCCCTCTTTCTGCCTCTCCACTTCCCCCCCACCCCGCTCATGCTTCTGTCTCTGTTTCTGTCTCTCTCAAAAAAAAGTAAATAAACATTAACAATTTTTTAAAAAAGAAAGAAAAGGGGCGCCTGGGTGGCTCGTTCGGTTGGGCAGCTGACTTCGGCTTAGGTCATGATCTCGAGGTCCGTGAGTTCGAGCCCCGCGTCGGGCTCTGGGCTGACAGCTCAGAGCCTGGAGCCTGTTTCAGATTCTGTGTCTCCCTCTCCCTCTGCCCCTCCCCTGTTCATGCTCTGTCTCTCTCTGTCTCAAAGATGGATAAACGTTAAAAAAAAAATTTTTTTTTAAAAAGAAAGAAAAAAAAACTTCTATGTTCAAAAGACATCATTAACAAAATTAAAACCACAAAAAACAACCAAGAATACTCGTAATACGCATGGGTGAAAATTCACAATTAGAAAGAACTTTTACAAATGATTAAGAGGACTTATAAATCATTAAGAAAAAGAAGACTCCTCAATAGAAAATGGCCAGAATGTATAAATACGCAATGATTTGAAAAAAGTAAAAATGAATGATTCATTATCCATTTGAAAATGCATTCCTCCTGGGGCGCCTGGGTGGCTCAGTAGGTTAAGCGTCCGATTTCAGGTCAGGTTATGCTCTCAGTTCGTGCGTTCGAACCAAGCGTAGGGCTCTGGGCTGACAGCTCGGAGCCTGCTTTGGATTCTGTATCTGTATTTCTCTCTCTCTCTGCCCCTCCCCCACTTGTTCTCGTGCTCTCTCTCTCTCTCTCTCTCGAAGATAAATAAACGTTAAAAGAATTTTTTTTTAAAGAAAATGCATGCCACCTTTTTAAAGAAATAAAAATCAAAACAGCGAGATCATGTTTTCCTGCCAGTTGAACAAAAATTAAAAGCTAGAAGAGTATTGTTACTCAATGGCCTTCCAGGGTAGCACACATAAGTACGTTGTAATATATTCAGAGAATGAAATACTGTAAGCAATGAGAATGAACTAAAAATATACACACCAGGGATAAATCTCACAAACAGAATGTTGAGAGAAAGAAGCCAGGCAGAAAAAAGGACACATTTTACATTTCCGTTTACGTGAAGTTGAAGTTGGGAAACAGGCAAAACTAATACAGAAATGTTAGACGGCAGGAGAAAAGTTACTCTTGCTGAAGAGTCGGATTAACCAGAAGGGGGCGTGAGGGTCCTCTGGGGTAACCGTCTGTTCTGTTTCTTTCTTTTCTTTTTTTTTTTTTTAACTTTTTTTTTTTTAAGTTTATTTATTTTTGAGACAGGGAGAGACAGAGCATGAATGGGGGAGGGGCAGAGAGAGAGAGACACAGAATCGGAAGCAGGCTCCAGGCTCCGAGCCATCAGCCCAGAGCCCGACGTGGGGCTCGAACTCACGGACCTTGAGATCGTGACCTGAGCCGAAGTCAGACTCTTAACCGGCTGAGCCGCCCAGGTGCCCCCATCGGTTCTGTTTCTTAATCTGGGCGCTGGTTATTCTGTGAAAATTCACTGCACTGTTCTCAATGATTTGCACACCTTCTGTATTATGTGACACTTCAATAAGTTTCTATTACATTTCTATAAGGATTCCTGTCAAATTGTGGGAAAGTGAGAAATTCTTAGACACTCATGGTACCAGAAAAATGATTGTAAAGCTGTTCTTTTTTAGATTATGTCCACATTTGTCAACAGAGTACCAGTTACACAGATGATAGTATGTCTATACAATGGAATATCACGTAATCCTTACAATGAGATCATCGTGACTTTTAGTTCTGATTTGTACGAGATATTCATACTTGAGTGATGTATAGTATGATCTCATTTATTTAAAAAATACAAGTTTCGGGGGGGAGGGCGGGGAGGGTGGGTGATGGGTATTGAGGAGGGCACCTTTTGGGACGAGCACTGGGTGTTGTATGGAAACCAATTTGACAATACATTTCATATATTGGGAAAAAAATAAAGAAATAAAAATAAATAAAAATTAGAATCAAATAAAAAAAATAAAAAAATAAAAAAATTTAAAAAAATAAAAAAGAAATAAAAAATACAAGTTTCTATTATAAATACATGCAAAGAAGAAAAGTCTGGAAGAATATATATGTCAACTATTAATGGTGATTTTCCCTAGGTGGAGGTTAGGGAGCGATGATGGGGAGATATGGCCTTTTCCTGTGTCATTTGAGAGGATTATGGTCACCATGAAAACCAAAGTTTTTTCCCTGGGGGAGGAAAGGAAGTATCTTCAGTTCTTTTCTACTTTCCATGGAAAGCTCTTCGAACTAGCTTCCCACACCCCTTAACCTTCCTCCAGGAATTTTCCCTGACCCCCCACCCCCAAGGCCCTGAGTCATTTACATAATAATACTTAGCATAAGGTATGGAAGGTATATGTTTTCTATTTCCCTACTATGACCTTTTTTTTTCCTTTGACCCTCTATAAACTCTTAAAGGGCAGACTTTATCTTTAATTTCTATATTCTCATAGCCATGGACAGTTCCCAGCACCTAGTAGGTCTCCAACAAATGCTTCTTGGACAAAGAAGTATTCAAATTTTATCTCCAGTTACTACAAAACTAACCAATCAGGGCTCTCAATTCCTCTTCTGATCTGCGCCCGCCCCCCACCACCAGGGAGGCTATACAGAAATGCAGATTACAACACCCATCTCTGACTTTGAATAAGACTTGAATAAGAATTGGGAGAATGAGGACAGGAACCGGGCTGGAGAGTCAACTTCTAACAACTGACCTAGGTAATTTGGGTGGGTGGTCAGTTTGACAAATTACTGAATGGCATTCACTCAGATCCTCATATAAACGGTGTGACAATGGCATATATTATTGCTCTGTACTCACAAGTCATTTGTCAGTGTTTATTTTTCAGAGAGAGAGAGAGTGGAGAAGGGACAGAGAGAGAGAGAGAGAGAGAGAGAGAGAGACAGAGGATCTGAAGCGGGCTCTGTACTGACAGCAGAGAGCCCGATGCGGGCTTGAACTGATGAAAGGTGACATCATGACCTGAGCCGAAGTCGGACGCTTAACCGACTGAGCCACTCAGGCGCCCCTGTGCTCACAAATCAATAGCCTTTTCCATCCAACAAAAGTAATGGGGGGAGAGGGGTGCGGAGAAGGGAAGCAAGAGTCCCGGGCAAACTGAACTCCCCATGTTCGCCTCCTTGCTTGCCATATCATAGGCACCAGAATGCATCAATAGTGGCCAGAAGAGTGAAGCCTGGGCCCTAATTCCACCCCACTCCTCCCACCTTAACCGTAGCACAAAAGCGTTGATTCTGAACAAACCGAATCTGAATCCTGAGTTGGTTCACGCACTGCTAGCTGTATGATCTTGGGTAGCTTCCAGATTGTCTACTGTCTGAGACTTAATTTCCTTATCGGTAAAAAGCAGATAAGAATACCTGCCTTCTGAACGTGAGGGTGTAGTGGGGAGTAAAGGAAATACGATAGGTAAAATACCAGCACAAGGCCTCCTACAAGCCCTTCAGTAATTGGTACTGGCCCCCTTCTTTCCTTTCTTCATTATCACCCGCCGCCCGGCTTTTCTCCTTACCTTGATCCGGGAGAAGTCGGAGGACGTTCCCGCGGATACCAAAATCCTTTACGTAGCAGAAATCTCGGGAGTCCACACTTGTTGCTGCTGCCTCTCGATCCTGGAAAATTTTCTTCAAGATGTAAGGCACAGGTTGGAACCTCTGGGGCGAAGGCACTTTGTCTAAGCCCAGAAACTGGAGAAAGACATATTCCTGAAATTGGACCGTCTGGGCCAAAGCCACGGTTAACAGGAGGCCAACAGCCAAGAGGGGCAGGGAAGGAATCATGGTCTCTGAGCTGAGACAGAGCTGGCGGGTCAGGCTGGAGAGAGCTCTAGCACCCGACTGCCTAGCAATTCAGAGGCTGCAAACTTACCTGATGTAAGATAATCAGGTGTGAATTGCTCTCTTCCCAGCTCCTCAAAGGCAATTGGATGTGAAAGGACACGGAATTTTTTTCTCTTCCCTTGCCCTACTCTTCCTCCCCAAAAGTTCACAAAACAAAGACTACCAATGCCTGGACCGGACTCCAAAACTCTCAGGTTTGTCAGCGGCGGATAGAATGGAAAGGAGACAGGCATGTATTCATTTGACCAACATGTATTACACATCTATTACGGGCAAGGCTCTGAGGTAGGTGCTAGAATGGTAATGAAAAATGGTCACGACAAAAGTCTTGTCACTCGCGGTCTACTTAGGCAAATAATACACAGGGAGATTTCTGTTAGACTCTATCTACAGCGATGGGGGAAGCCAAACCAGGAAGAGAGAACTCTACCCAAGAAAGGTGATCTACACTCTGTTTTCAGCTCTAAGAGGGACTGAATTTTATTCATCTAAACCTTGCTCTTCCTTTTTTTTTTTTTTAATATAACTTTTACTTATTTAAGTAATCTCTACACCCAACGTGGGGCTTAAACTCATGACCCTTACCTAGATCAAGAGTCGAGTGGTCCTCAGACTAAGCCAGCCAACTTTGCCCTTCCTGTTAAAAATCAGACTGACTGGGTTAATTCTGATTCGACTACTTTTTAGTTACATGACATTGGGTATGCCGCTTAACCTTTTGTAGTTTTTGTTTTCTCAACTGAAAAGAAAAACTGACCTTCTAATATGCCATATGAATCTGATAAGATGATGTATTTTTTATTTTTTATTTCTTTTTTTTAGATGATGTATTTTTTAAATCTTTTTTTTTTTTAATTTTATTTTTCAGAGACAGAATGTGCAATGGGGGAGAGGGGCAAAGGGAGGGAGAGAGAGAGAGAGAGAGAGGGAGAATCTTAAACAGGCTCTACGCTCAGTGTGGAGCCTGAGGAGAGGCTTGATCCCACGACCCTGGGATCACGACCTAAGCCAAAACCAAGAGTCGGATGCTCGAGTGAATAAGCCACCCAGGCGCCCCAAGATGATGTACTTAAAGTGCTCTGCACAATGCCTGCCAAATGGTAAAGACAAAAAAAGTGGTCACACGGGGGAACGATTTAAAGTTGAAGTAGAGCGGGGCGCCTGGGTGGCGCAATCGGTTGAGCGTCCGACTTCAGCCAGGTCACGATCTCGCGGTCCGTGAGTTCGAGCCCCGCGTCAGGCTCTGGGCTGATGGCTCGGAGCCTGGAGCCTGTTTCCGATTCTGTGTCTCCCTCTCTCTCTGCCCCTCCCCCGTTCATGCTGTGTCTCTCTCTGTCCCAAAAATAAATAAACGTTGAAAAAAAAATTTTTTTTTAAATAAAAAAAATAAAGTTGAAGTAGACATTTTCTAGTAAGACGATCATGCATTCAAGACTGAAGGAATTACATGTGGAAAGGCATGGAGGTTATCGAGACATTGAGGTTTAGCAGTATGTATCAATTCCTGGTTTTGTGTTTTGTTGTTTTATCAGACTACCGGTAGATTGTCAAACGCCACAGAAGAATTAGCTGGTTTATTGCCAAACTAATTTTCACGCTTTTTGAGAACAGGGACTTTTTCATTTTACACGATTTTATACCACCTATTCTAAGAACTTGGTTTCCCCTAAAGGAAGAACAAAATGCTATCTTTACTATATAATCGTTTCCTATCACCTACAGGATAAAATCAAAACTTTTTAGTTTGGCATTTAAAACCTTTATTGATCTCGCACCGTATCACTAGCCTCATTTCCTACCACCCACCATCACCAGTGTTAACGCCCATGTAAGGATATTGACCTATTTGTAGATCTCCTATGACCTCATTGCATCTGAGAGTCTTTGCACGGACCAAGTTCAAAGGTTACTTCCACTCAAAGACGTCTTGGCTCAATAAAATATATTTAAATGTTTCTTCTTTCTCCCACTGAGCTTTGAGTGAGCCCTCATGAGAGCACTCACCGCAGCGCATTTCACTGTGTCTTTTGTCCAGGTCCCTCCCAGGCAATGTACTTCTTGGGAATCAGACTCGTGTGTTTTCATCTAAGTATCTCCACTGTGTATTTTCCTCTAAGTATCTCCACAAGGCAGGAAAATGTCTGGCAGGTAGCAGACATTCAGTAGATATCCGTGCAAGAAATAAATGAACAAATGAATTGGTGCTGTTTTCAGAGGTCTCTCTCTTCTAGATAACCAAATTTTCTCCATTCCCATGTCTCCTATCTCCTCTTGCCTGCATCCTAAAAAGTTAAAAGTTAACACTCTGAAATTAATCTATAATCTCCACCTATTTTCAACAGTAAGTGTGGATTGCATTTTGTTTTTCACTATTTAACGTTTATGACTTAAAGTCAGAATCAGACAAACGGGCTTAAATTCAGGTTCCACCACTTATTAGTTGTGTGATCAATGAATGACCAAGTCACTCAAATGTAAACTAAGAACAAACGTTCTTTGCTAAGGTACTGAGGAAATCTTATGCTATGATGATGCGTATGCCATGCTCAGGGCAATATCTACCAGTGAAGCACCTGATAAAGTTAATTAGTTTGTTGAACCCACAAGATGGAGACCACCCCATTGGCCTGGTGCCCATGTCACAAACCTAAACCTAAGTTAGCCTGCATTTATGGAAACACCCATCAGGGAAATTTAACATACACCAATCACAATCCTCCAACTCAGCTTTAGCTAGCTCACCTTTCCCTGGAAAACAGGACTTGCTAACCTTCTAAGGAAGTCTCCAATCTCCTCACAGATCATGCCCTGTGTTCATGTTGCCCCTTCTAATGTTCTATAAAACTCCCATGTGCACTAAATCCCTTGGGAACAGTGTCCCTTTGCTGTGAAGCACCGTATTTAACCAATCCATGGTTGTTTTCTCTTAAATGCTTTTTTTTTCCACATTAAAAAAATTTTTTATGTTCTTTCATTTCTTAAGTAGGCTCAATACCTATTGTGGGGCTTGAACTCACAATCCCAAGATCAAGAGTCACATGCTCTACCAACTGAGCCAGCCAGGCACCTCCATAGTTGTTTTCTCTTAAGTAAAGAACATCAAACTTGTTACTGAATTGTTTTAGTTTTGTCATTTGACATGCTCAACAAAAGTTAGTGGATATTAATTATTGTTATCATTTTTATTTATTAAAGGAGAGTTTAATCAAGGGAAGAAAAATAATTGAGAGTGTGCAATATAGCAATATATATATATCGCAAGAAAAAGCACCAAATCCAGCAGGAGTCAGAAGATCTAAGTTAATCGCAGATCCTCCAAAGACCGTGTAATCTCGGTCATTGCACTCAGTGTCTCAGTGTCGGTGTTTTATGAAACATACCCAGACATGGAAATTTTTTTAAATAGAAAGATTTAAATGGTCTGAGATGTCATAAAGGGTTAGCCTACCTGGGCCTCACTTTCTTTACCTATACAGTCACCAGGTTAAATTTGATGGTCTTCGAGGATTCTACAAACAAAAACATCCCGATTCTGGATTTTCAGCTTAAATCAGAAATTCAAAAGTGAGGCGGTATGGCTAAATAGCACAGAACTGCTTCTGAAGTCAGGGACTTAGATTAAAACCCCAGTTCGGGGCGCCTGGGTGGCGCAATCGGTTAAGCGTCCGACTTCAGCCAGGTCACGATCTCGCGGTCCGGGAGTTCGAGCCCCGCGTCGGGCTCTGGGCTGATGGCTCGGAGCCTGGAGCCTGTTTCCGATTCTGTGTCTCCCTCTCTCTCTGCCCCTCCCCCGTTCATGCTCTGTCTCTCTCTGTCCCAAAAATAAATAAACGTTGGAAAAAAAAATTAAAAAAAAAATAAAATAAAATAAAACCCCAGTTCTATCAATTTGTCCTGGACAAATTGTTTCTCTGGCTTTTGGTTTTCTTATCAATAAAGTGAAAAAGATATCAGGCCAACAGAATTATTGCGATTGTAAGCATAAAAGATATTCAACCTCACTAGTAAAAAAAATAGAAAAGCAGAATAAAGCAATGAGATGTCTATCAATTAGCAAGATGAGAAAAGAATAGCAGACCGTGTGGCTGGCTCAGTTGGTAGAGCATGTGACTCTTGATCTTTGGGTCATGAGTTCAAGCCCCGTGTTGCGTATAGAGCTTACTTAAAACACACACACACACACACAAAGAACAATAGCTTGTGTAGGTAAAGAAGCAAGGAAACACAGCGTTATACTCAACTCTGGGGTATACATTTTTTTATTGAAAATTTTTTTTTAATTTGAGAGAGGAGAGAGGGAGCAGGAGAGAGGGGACAGAGGGCGAAAAAGGGAGAGAATTTTCAGCTCTACACTCATTGCAGAACCTGACTTGGGACTTGATCCCTTGACCTGGGATCACGACCCAAGCTGAAATCAAGAGTCAGACACTCAACCGACTGAGCCACCCAGGCGCCCTGGGCTATAAATTAATAACACTTCCCTGGAGGAAACATCTGCAATGTATATTAAAAGCTTTGAAACTACTCAAGGCCTTCCTATATGAGGTACTTAAAGTAGTCAAATCTTAGAGACAGGAAGCAGAATGGTGGTTGCCAAGGCTCGTGGGAGGAGAGAACGGGGAATGGGGCATTAATGTTTAATAGATACAGAGTTTATGGTTTCTTTTTCTTGTTCTGTTTGTTTGTTTGTTTGTTTTTAGTAATCCCTACACCCAATATGGGGCCAGAACTCACAACCCTGGAGATCAAGAGTTGCATTTTCTTCTGACCCAGCCAGCCAGGCACCCCGCCCCCCCCACCCCTCCCCCACCCCAACCATCCAGAATTTCTGTTTTGTAAGAGGAAAGAAGTTCTGCAAAGGTGGTGATGGTAGCCCAGTGTGAATATGTTTGATATCATTGAACTGTACATTTAAGAATTATTAACACGAGGGACACCTGGGTGACTCAGCTAGTTAAGCATCCAACTCTTGGTTTTGGTCA